AGTAAAAAGCACTTGAACAACGGACATCTAAATGTCAGGAGGTGTTGTCGCATAGCGCTTGAGTGCTGAGGCCAGGCATTCTTAAACATGGCCACGTATCAAGTTGACTACCAGTGGTTAGTGCACGTCTTGCCTTTCATTGATATTCATATATATATGTAATTCTTTTTGCTAATTACATATCAATCATATTATTGTGACTCGTTACAGGGCTTATTCTATAATGGATTCATCCAGGATATCCACTTTCCTAATATCAATTCTACTGATAGTTTACGGTAGTTTTCGATCTCTAAACATGGAGCAAGAGGCAAGGGAAAGAGAAAAGGAGAAGGAACGTAGTAATTTATTGACTGGGATTACTAGTAATAGTAGCGCCGGTAATCCGGACTGCATTAATGGAGGAAGAGTTCAAACTCTCGATACGATGCATGCTCTCTGTCTACCTCTCGGTGCTTCCATTTCTCTACTCATCATGTTTTTCTTTTTTGACAGTATGCAGATGCTTCTTGCAATTTGTACTGCCAGTACGTTTGATAACAAATTTAACTTGGAATAAGCATTATTATATATTAGGTGCTTTCCAATTGCTTGATATATCTTAATACAAATGTACACAAGAATTCACAAAGCATTGTGCACGAATGGAATCTATTGGAACAGAATGTGTGGAACACATTGTGCACAGTTTCAATTAGAGTAAATGTAGGTTTTTTTCGTCTGTATAGAGTGAAAAAAGGCAAAAATACTGGCCACTCAGCTTCTCCAGTTCAGAGATCCTGAGACTTCCAGTCTCATTTATAACTACTACGATTAGTAACATGTAATTGTCGCTAAAATAGATAAGCTTACTCAGCCAACTAGTAGCTCTCGAGCTGAATACTGTATCGGATATGTATCGACGATTATTAATTGGAACACAACTTGTGTCACTGTCTGCACAAAAGTGTCTAATGATTTTTGACAATTGGAAAGCATACCCAACGATGTAAAGCACTTGGTATGGGTCTATGTCATCATAACTATGTTGTTTTTTTTGCAGTTATAGCTACAGTTGCATTGGCGTTTCTGTTATTGCCCATGTGTCAGTATATCATTAGACCGTGTTCTGATGGTAACAAAATATCTTTCGGTGTTTGTGGGAGATTTACGGGTGCGGAATTACTCTCATTTTCGCTCAGTGTGAGTATAGTATGCATCTGGGTTTTGACTGGACATTGGCTGCTGATGGATGCAATGGGTATGGGCCTGTGCGTGGCGTTTATTGCATTTGTTCGACTACCTAGTCTCAAGGTATCCACGTTGTTATTAACCGGACTGCTGATTTATGATGTTTTCTGGGTTTTCTTTTCGTCCTACATATTCAGCACAAACGTAATGGTTAAGGTAAGTTTTGTTAAATGTTAAATCATATCAAGGCATTATTTACGATAAAAAATACATTGTATTTTTTTCAAATAAATTTATAATGTCATTTTGCATGCAGTATTTTTTTTTATGATGATACATTGTAAGATAAGAGTAATAAACGGAATTGTACAATGTGTCTATTAAAGATTATTTTCGGCACAGAGTATCACATATGTAATAATACAAAATATGTATAATTTGTTTTTCTTATTTCTATCATAGGTAGCAACTAGGCCTGCAGATAATCCAGTAAGTCTCGTGGCTAGAAGATTACACTTAGGCGGTGTGGCGAGAGCTGCGCCGAAATTACCTTTACCTGGAAAATTAGTTTTTCCATCGATACATCAAGCGGGACATTTTTCAATGTTGGGCCTCGGCGATATTGTCATGCCGGGTCTATTGCTCTGTTTTGTTCTGCGATACGACGCATACAAAAAGACTCAGCTATTACCCGGCGGCTGTGAAACTGGAGTACCACCACCGCGCCACTTCAGCCGAATTAGTTATTTTCATTGCTCTTTGATTGGTTATTTTCTTGGTCTACTCACCGCCACTGTAAGCTCTGAGGTGTTCAAAGCTGCACAGCCTGCCTTATTGTACCTTGTGCCCTTCACTTTGTTGCCGCTGCTCACAATGGCATATTTGAAGGTATCGTTATGTTTCTTATATAGTCTAATGTGACGGATATACAAAGATTGTGTTTTAAGATCAAAGTAAAAAGCTTTGATAAATTGTTTGGAAAATTACTTTAAATAAAAGATATATTTATATAAATTCTGTTCTTGGTATTTATAATTCGAAATTTAACTATTAAAACTATTGTAATAAAATAAAAATTAAAAATTAAAAATTAAAATTTTTTTGTAACAAAGTTACAAAAAGTAACACCAAATGATATAATAATAATATAAAATATAATAAAATGTTATGATTTAAGAATTAATTATATAAAGATATTTATTTAATGTTAAACAAATTGTGGAAACTTGTGAAAGATATATACTCTCTTTACTTTTTCTTAAGAAAAATTGATTGTCTATATCAGTCAAAAAAATATATATAAATGAAAATACATATATACATATATATATATATAATCTGAAACATTATACGTAATATTCGTAAATTTAATTACGCTAAAAATAATTAAAAAAATTATGTTGGATTTTATCACAATTATGAAAAATTAGATCTTTAGCAATACTTTGTTTTATGAATAAATGTATATATGTCACAAAATGATGTACAAAGTAAAATACATAAGATTATGTATATTAATTGTTTACTTTCAGGGAGATTTACGTCGGATGTGGAGTGAACCATTCATATCTCAACAACCGTCTGCACATATGGACGTTTGACAAGAGTCATGGATCTAAATATATGGACATTTGACAAGAGTCATGGGTCTTTGTATATTATGTTATATTGGAAACAAGATTCTTGCATGAAATTCACCCTCATATAATTTCACAGTTATTTTCATCAACGTCATTTAATGTAAGTAATTTTTTCTACACATATACACGCATGTGCGCAATTCATTCGCATTCTTTTCAAAGTCAGTATAACATACAGAGAATAAATCAGATCTAAGGATCAATATGATTATTTGCGATTCAAAAATACATATATAAAAATACATTACATACTGCATAAATAATTTAAATGTAATATAATGTCACGAATGTAATGTTAGCGGGGCAAAGAACTTTTTACCGAAATAATAGAGGACGAGAAGATCTCTGAGAATATTTCAAGAATGCCAAATGACATATATATTATGTGTGTGTGT